TACGAATCATGATAATGATGCGATAATTAGAAAAAGGCGTGAAAACAGCAAGAATTTTCAATAATCAATGTATTTGGGATGACCAATCATTGCATCGTAAAAAAACTCTGGGAACCGCGACATATCATCGCTAATTCTCATCTCAGCAGATATACAATTAAGAGAATGATCGCTACAACGGATTTCAATGCACCATGTCCTGGGGTAGCTTTGACCCAGGGAGTCCACGAAAAAAAACAAGCGCAGATGACGGCTCGTACGACCAGAAGTGGACTCGAGAGCCTTTCTAGCCACTAAGACCCTGCTTTTCTAGATTGGCATATAAATTCGATCATTTTAAAGCAGATTCTAAATCAAGCAGTCTTAATATCTCCAATCATAAACAGTGTGACTATCCAAGCTGTCCAACAACGATACTCCTGAGTGCCGTTGACCAAAATTCGGAAGGCAGAAGCCACAGTAAGTCGCGGTCCCAAGATAGAACGGAAAGTAGCGAAGTCACAGGGCGTAAGGTGTATGTATAAACATGGTAGACATGCAACTTAAACTTCCGTACCAACGTCAGACGATTGAAATTTAAAGTATGTAGAAGTACCGAAGTATCGGTACTTATGCAGATGATGGGACTTTGCGAAGAATACATTCGTGGTATACATGGGCTGGTAGCAATAGGGAAAGTGTGCGGCACCCAGTAACTTTGTCTTCATTTTCATCGATGGCTCGTCGCCATTCAGACCCGACATACTTATATTAAATTGCATCCCAAATCAGCTCGAGAATCCACGCTATCAAAGTCCTACATTGTACAGGAAGATCCTTAGCCGCTTTTGCAAATGTCTTATTTCCGCGTTGCATGGATATCATATCCGGTTTCGACATCTTAATGACTCAGCTTACTACCTAATACTTTCGACAGCGACGTACCGTGTGTATTTGAGCGATGCTCTTGATTCAATCAGGACTTTTTGTGGCTTCACACATAACCTCATTCCTGGTAGACTGTCCCTTTCTTAAGGGCTGCTTTCCACTGGTCTCGACCTTCACATGGTCGAATAGAAGCAAGTTATTGGTCAGTAGGCTGCCTTGCACCTACTGGGACTTAAGAAATTTAACGCCGTCCGCAAATAGTTCGTTGGTCGATCCTGTAGGAGCTCGATTCTTCACGCCTCTCAATTGAGATAGGAGACGACACGCAGGGCATTAGCGTCTGGTATTACCACATATTTGAAACTTGAAGTTACTGACAGTAGCTTAGTAATTACTCTCTTCTCTCCCATTTCCTATAGCAGGTCCTTAATGCCATCGCTTGTCGCGCTCAGACCGATTTTCGTCACACAGAAGCTGTGCTTCTCATCCAATGCAACATTCAATGCTTCCTAGAAAAAGGGGGGGTGCTTCTGCGATAATAAAGGCTGCATGGATGCTCTTCATGAAATTGGCAACCTCAACCACTTTTCATATAAATTTTACCTCATCGCCGCAAGAAGAGTTCGTAACTTGAAGGTATAGCTCACCAAATTGTCACATGATACGCTCGGTTAGGTGGTGTGAGCACCCGTAACGAATCATGCTTCTGTCGCACCATCCGGAATCCTGTCCTATCTTTACAGTTTCATAAACCCGTAATCATTCCTTTTATGGAAGTAATAAATTACAAACTAACTCAGCCAGCCGATCTTGCCCATCTATAAGAATAAGAATTGCATCGATGTTTGCAGACTCAATCCCATCGTGATTACAATTTATATTCTCTGAGGCTCCCTTACATCCTTCTGCGCTCTAATTATTTCAAACAAAGCAAAACAAGCACCAGAACGTCGGTCTGCAAGCGTTTTATGACCATCGCGTAGTTCCCACAGCATTGTAGTCATTTAAATTGAGCAGATCTCCGACTAGCGTTGCTTAAAGCTTGAGGCATAAAGTTTTATGTGGACGTCAAAGTGCAAATTCTTCACATCAATTTCTTGCTATGCACCACAAACTGTAATAATTGACTTTAAACGGTTGTACTGGTAAGCGCCATGCAATCTCTACGAGCCTCTTAGGCACATCATGCGGTTAGAAACCTTAGCACTTCAGTAGAGCGAAAGGCTGTCCAGCCACAGTCGAAGATTGCGACGCTGTTCTGTCTCAACAAAGCGATCCACACTCGAAAAAGCTCGGATTGTGGTGTGGCTTCAACAAGCCCATAAACAAACAGGATGTGTTCGCACTCTTTTTTGGATGTTAAGCGTGTTGATCGGTCACTTTCTGGCCACGGTCCTTATCATTCAGAGCAACGGATCGCTTCTTAGGTTTATTGACTGCAGAGGCTGCTTATGTGGGTTGGTTAATTAGATTCTATAAAGCATCCTTTTTTACTACATGTTCATGTGCTCTGTCTGCCTGGTTATCGAATAGTGTTTTTGAAGATAACTAGCAAAGCGACGGTGCAGCGGAGTGGTCGCTGTTTTCGTTAGAGGAAGATTTCTCAAGGTCACCGACCTTCTTTCTATACAAGAACTAGTACGAGTGCAGCGAATCGCAATCAGCTACCTCCAAGAGTACCCGTAACTTTAATCCAAGGCAAATGTACTCTTCCGTTCAAAAGGTAAACCGTATTTGTCTATATTATTTGCAGCAGAGCCTCCAATATCTCAAAACTTGGGATTTCATTAATAAGCATAACTACTGGCAGTCCCGCCCGTAGTGGCTTCTTGTTCTGGTGTAGCCACACCATTGTGTGATCACACCGACTTGTGAAACTCACAACTTTGTACGGTCACACCATATTGTGTGACCCACCCTTTCATACCAGGGTACTTGTAACCCCGTTACACTTCTCCCATCAAAACTGTGAATACCCACAATCTACATATAACTGTCACCTTGTACGATGCTCGCGTGTCTAAGACACCTTTAAGTCCCCAGGACTTTCTTCACGCATTCTCTGCTCAATGTGCCCTGTGTCTATAATACGAAAACACCCAGCCTCACTGGTCCCGAGAGCGCCGACGAGCAGAGCCTTTCTTCGTCTCCTGAACGGAGTGCAGCCCCAGACAGTACGTCCGCGGCATCCCGGGAAGCATATCCCAAGCTCTCGGGCGCCACGGGTGACGGATTTTTTCGTCTTGGATTCGGAGGGAGTCGACTACGAGTCGGATACTCTTTTCCCGAAGATGGAAAGAAGAGGAGGGCGAGGTGCGCCAACGGCGATATAAGAGACCTGCTCGAACCTTGCGAATACCATGTCCGTTTCCCGACCTCTTGCATTCTGGGAAAAGTGGTATTATTACCGATTGCCTCGACGAAGCACAGGAGCAGCAGTTGTAGGCTGTCCACAAGGCGGCTTCCATGCGCTCGTATCCACGTTCGGTCCTAGACCTTCGTGTGGGATGCGCCTTCCGCTTGGCGGATCACGCAGCTGAAGCGAATGATGCGATCACTCGATCGTTAGGCGTTGACGTAGTCGGGCGCCCAGCCACTACACAAGCTGAGCTTGATCAGCGAAAAGCTCTTAGAGCCCACGTTTTGCCCAAGAATTCCTAATGGACCGGTACCGCGCTCGACTTCGAGCTCAGATAGGAGCGTTCATGTACCCGCAAATGCGGACTATTCCTGTGGTGCTCGCCCCTAGCGAAACCACTGCAGATGATGAGGAGCCCTTTGAGCGATGGGCGCAGCGGCACCGGAAACTTTCCTCGCTGTGTACCATTATGGCCTCGAGTCGCTAAGGTCGTAGACTTACCCGTTTGGAAAACCACAGAGCTTTGCGGGAGCGTGATGGATGATTCTATGTGTCGTATGGCGACAAAACGTAGGAAGACGGCGTTGCGCCTTGTATTTGGCATAATCAAATCGATGATGGCGCTCAGCGCGTTCGTTCATTTCCTTGTGGTCTTGCTGTGCTTGAGCTCAGCTCATGGCTCTCCGGTTCCCCGGGACACTGCCGAGAAGCGCGGGGCGCACGACGACGTTGACCCACAAGACGTTCAACGTGGTAGTGGATGACATAAACTCATCGAGAAGAGTCGGCGGCGGGCATTAACGACTTGTTCGATCGCCGTCCGATTACTCACGATGCTCTTCGAGATCTGGAGGCCAAAGTCCTTCGTCATCGGCGTACCGCCGA